TGCGACGGCATCAACGGTGAAAAATACACGCTCACCTTCATCGACGCCTACTCACGCCACGTCTGGATTGCCAACGTCGATGCTCGCTCAAAGGCTCCAGAGGTCCTCCGCATCTGGCTCGCACATGCGCAACGACAATCGGGGAGGAAGCTGAAAATTTGGCAGAGTGACGGGGCGAAGGAATTTCGCAGCTACGAACTGGAGAGCGTCCTCACTGAAAAGGGGATCAAGCACGAGATCTCTCTCCCCTACACACATCAGCAGGAAGGCGTCGCAGAGAGGGTCAATTGCACCCTCATGACAAAAGTTCGCGCCCTCGTGAACCAGTCCGGCCTACCCAAGAAGTACTGGCCCTACGCCATGAATCACGCGATGCGCCTGCACAACCTTCTCTCCACCACGGCCAACAGGGACAACCTTTCCCCGCACATGAAGTGGAACGGCTCAAAGGGAGACCCCTCCATGCTTAGGGTTTGGGGGTGCATGGTGCAGTATCGACCGACTTCAGCCACAATTGGCAAGTTCGCTCACCGCGCGCGCTGGGGAATTCATTTGGGGCTCAGTAACGAGCACAAAGGCTGGCTCATTCTCGACATTGACAGCAAGGAGGTTGTTCCCGCGCGTGATATTCTTTTCTACGAGAGACTCACCCTGAATCAGTGGATCGAAGACGAGCGTCGCAACGAGGCACGCGGCTATGTCAACAGCGGCCGCAGTTTTGCATCCCCAGAGGACGAGGCAGCAGCAGCAGCACTCGACCGCGATCCCGCCGACGAACATCCCGACGTTCCGCCTCGCCCGCGCGACGACGACGACGATGGTGACGACGACACACCCGCGCCAGGACCATAACGTCGCCAATCTGAGCCCAGCACCACCGCAACTGCCCACGAGAGTGACGATGACGATGTGGTGGAGGTCACCACCAGCAACACCACCACTGTGTCTGGCCTGCAGCTTCTCGGTCTACACACGTCAGTCACTACCCTCACGCGCGCCGTCGAACCCAAGAACCCTCGCCAGGCCCTTACCGGTCCCCACGCCAAGGAGTGGCGTGCCGCTATGGACGCGGAGCTACAAGCATTGGAATCACGCGACACATGGGTCCTAGTCGATCGTGCAGCAGTGAAGGGGAGGAGGGTACTAAGCGGAAAATGGGTATTCCGTCTCAAAACCAACGCCGACGGCACCATCGAGCGCTTCAAAGCACGCTGGGTCGTACGCGGGTACGATCAGCGCCACGGTATCGACTCCGACCAAACCTTTGCTCCCGTTAGTCGTCACACCTCTGTCAGAATTTTACTCGCCATTGCCGCCGCTAAGCACCTACCACTGCGGCAGATCGACGTGAAGAACGCGTTCTTATACGCGCTGGTGGATGCAACCATCTTTGTGGAACAGCCACACACCTACGGGGAAGGAGACCCCAGGGTCTGCCAGCTGAAGAAATCCCTCTACGGGATAAAGCAAGCGCCGCGTCTCTGGCAGCAGCATCTGCACAAAATCCTCCTCGAGATTGGCTTCAGGCAGCTGCCGTACGACCCGGGAATGTACCGCCTTCACTTCAACGGTGACTACATCCTTCTGACAGTCTACGTCGACGACCTGCTGTACACCGGGACCTGCAACAAGCTTCTTAATCAGTTCAAAGAGAACCTGGCACAGCGCGTCGACATCACCATCAACCACAACGTCACACCGTTTCTGGGGTTGAACATCACCTACGCGCCAGAGGCAATTCATCTGTCAGCCTCTAAGTACGCAGAGCAGCTGGGGGAATGCTTCAACATTTCACCTGCACCACTCTCAACTCCTTACCGCAACCCCAGTGCCAACTACAAACCGGACAACAAACCTCTGTCGCCCGCAGAACTCCAAATGTACCAGCAGAAATTGGGGTGCCTGCTGTTCGCCTCTGTCACCTGCCTACCCGACCTTTCGTACATCGCCAGCCAACTGGCACAGTACTCTCGCAAGCCAGTAGCAGAGAACCAGCTGGATCTGTACCGCGCCCTGCAGTACTTCATTTCCACACCTGACATCGGACTCTCCTACTCCACGCTGACGACAACCTCCTTCAACCTGAACGACTACGTGGATGCAGATCACGCCGCTGACCCTGCAAATCGACGGTCTCGAACCGGCTTCGTCTTCCGCCTGGAACTAACAGGACCAATCTCCTGGAACTCGCAAAAGCAGGAGCTGGTTGCCCTGTCATCGGCCGAAGCAGAATATATCGCCGCGACAGCAGCAGTTTGCGAAGGTCTGTACCTACAGGAACTGCTGCAGGAGGCGAAAATTTCAACTTCGCCCACCTTTCGTCTTCACTGCGAGAATCAGAGTGCCATTAAGATTGCGATCAAGCCAGGTTTCGTGAACCGCACAAAGCACATCGCGCTCCGGTACTTTTTCGTCAAGGACGAAATTGACCAGGGCAAGGTCGATCTCACGTACTGCCCCACCTCCGAGATGGCAGCCGACTTTCTCACCAAGCGACTGCCACGTCAGCAGTACAATCACTGTTCCGACCTCACTGGAGTGGTCAAGCGAGTCAGCCCCCTGCGCGCCCAGGAATGAAGGGGAGTGTTGCGATATGAAACTTTATGAGAAGGCATTCATGTATGCTACTGGGACCGACTCTAAAGTGTACGAAGCCGAGGAGTCAGAAGAGTCGAAGCGACACTGGTAACCGTCTGATCAAGACCGATGCAGGCAGAAACATTTGAAGTGAAAAGAGCGGGAACAGGTTTAAAAACGGGTTCCCGCGCCGCACGGTTTGAACTCGCTGCAATAAGGGAATGTACCCCTTAAAGTACATGGCTAGTCTATGTCTTTTCGTATTCCCCTGTATTCTTATATAAACCCGATGTATGCATGCTATTATTAACTCAGTCATTTACATTCACTCTGACCTGAGATTCAATCTTCCGCTGCAAACACTACCCTGCGATCAACCCTGAGCGATCCTTCGCTAAGTCCCACTTGGGATTGTAACATACCTCATATGGCCTACCCCACTATAGCCTACACAACATACAGCATATAAGTTTGACACTGAGGACATCCAGAATAACCGCCACTAAATGTTGTAGACATGTGATGTGCATGTTCCAAGATTGCAGTGGATTGATGGGGCACGGGGGCCTGAATGTGCAAATAACACATTTAGATGTTCTGTTTTTTGTTTGTTTTGTTTAGTGGAGGTACATGAGCATGTACTATCTTGATACATAATGAGGCGCGGTGTTCGTTGATGGAATTCGCATTTGTCACAACCACAGCTTCGCATTTCCGTGGCACCGCCAGCTGGCGCCCGCGTTTCGGAACCTTGAAATGTATTTTCTGGTGCGACTCGAAATGCCAGCTGTTGCTCGTGTCGCTCCTTGAACACCCTGCAAATTTCGTGATTACTCCTCGCGCCCTTACCACGTGCCCATCCCAACAGCCACCCTGGGAAACCTACGAGGCGACACTTTTACCAAATCGCAACCACAACCAAAAACTTTGCCTTTTGGATGACTCTTTCTCCAGGCACATTCGCGAGCCGCGTTCGCCTTTCAGACACGAAAGTTTTTCAAGGCCCAGTGCGCCAATTTTCAACCTTCCCCGATAGTCGGTCGTGGTGAGTCTACTTCTTCGTCAACTTATGCTGCTGCATGTTATTATGCATTGCGCGAATTAGGGCCCGTAACCTTCCTAGACAGCAACCCTCGTGCTGTCGACTCACATTGAAGCGCTTCCTTGCTCCTCACACAGAAACAGGGTGCTACCACTCGTACGCCCACGGTGCTTCAAGCGCGTAGAACCGATCACTAAGAAGGTCAAGCCGAGCACACGTAGACTCGTGTCATCTCGCGGCACCACCCTTGGTGATTGAGATAAGGAGTCGGTGCAAACGTTAGAGGCAAGTAAATTTGTCTCGTGTCGGTGCTGGACTAGAAGCTCTCCCTCGCATGAACCTACCTCCTCAGCCTGCTAGGAACAACCTTGCTTAACCACTCCTCCTAGGCTATACCCGTCCTTTCGATCCTCCAAGTTAGCTACCGGTCGCGTTTCCGCGATGGCGCGAGCACGCATTCTTCTAGCTATTCTAGCCCTTGCATGGGTCGCAATCGCCATGGCGGTCCCTGGGAAGCCAGTTAATGCGAAGAAGACCGAAGAAGTGCCGTCAGCCAATCGCCGAGCAGGAATCGCAGAGAAAGTATTTGCGCACAAGTCCGGGTGGTATGGGCCTCTAGCCAAGTGGAACCCCGATGTCGTGGTGGCGCAGGACGGCTCTGGGAAGTTCAAGAGCATTCAGGTTGGTTGCACTTGCAGCGCCAGCCGCGTGCCGTGGCCGTACATTGTGGATTTGCGCTGCTTCCTTTAAGCTGCAGCAGACCATACAGATCGCTCTTGCGCCGTGATCTTGCGCCGTGATCTTGCGTTGTGTCTTGCGCTGTGCTATAGCGCCGTCCTCTTGCGTCGCGCTCCTGCTCCGTGTTCTTGTGCGTGCGTGCTCCTGCGACTTGCTCCTGCGCCGTGCTCCTGTGTCGAGCTCTTGTGCCGTGCTCTTGTTCTGCTCGCGCGCCGCCGCCGCTGTTTCGCCGCCTCAGTTGCCGAACGTCGCCGCACGAGGAAGTGCTTGCAAACCGTTGACCAGTTCGCTTCTCGTAGCTGTGATATCCCAGCCGATTCGCGGCAGCTAAAGCGGGCCGGCAAGCAGCGAAGCCGCAGCTACGCAGTCTGTTAGCGTTTGCTTGCATTGCGCAGAAGGAGCGGTTGTGCCGTTATGTTGCGCAAAGCTGCAGTCGAGCCAGCAAGTTGGAATCATATCTGCTTGTCAAGAGATCCAGCTCTCAGATCTGCATTGCATTTTTCTCTTTAGTTTTTACACACGGGCGCACGTGATCCGCCACGCGTCCGTTTGTACGAGCCCTTCTGTGATATTTCTCTTGCCACTCACATGGATTACACGCCACGTGCGACTTCCTCCTACCTTTGCCGTTGCTATCTTGCAGAAAGCGATTGACAGCGTGAGGCCATTGGTGAGAAGGCCAAACCAGAAAGCTGTCGTCATTTACGTAAAAAAAGGGCTATACTTCGAAGAGGTCACTATTCCTGAGGGCAAGGCCAAAATCACTCTGGTGGGCGACCCTGGCGAAACCAGAATCCGATTCAACAAGTACTCTGCGAAACTCGACAAGAACGGCAACCCCCTCGGAACTGGTACGTAGTCGATAGAATCCCCTCGCTTTGGGTCTGGAGCGCTTTATTCATCAGCATCTCAAAGCTTCTCAAACGTGTACCTATGCTGCTTTCCTAACGTATGGACATCGCATTTGTTTTTTTCTCCTTGCTAACCCGTTTCAGCCAATACTGGTACGCTTGCCGTCCTCGCCGACGACTTCACGATGGTGAACATGATCGTTGAGAATGCTTCGCCGCGCCCTCCGCCTGCGACGACTGGTTACCAGGCTGTCGCATTTCGCTCTGCCGGCAACCGCACAATCGTGTTCAACTCCAGCTTCTACTCTTATCAGGACACGCTATACGCTCACAAAGGATTCCAATATTACAAGAACTGTAAGCAGCCGCAGCTACCCACTACTAGTTTCCGTCGACAACATCGTAATCTCGTTTCTCACTTGCTGCTTCGTTTCACTAAAATGCTTTGTGACGAATTTCCTCGCATTACGCCAAACCCAGCAAAGACTTATCGTACACTGCTCCCCATTCTTTGCCCCGTTTTCCGCACACGTATTTTTCAACCAGGTTTCATCTTCGGCGAGGTTGATTTTGTCTTCGGCGCCGCGAAAGCCATCTTCGACTCATCCACTTTCTACATGGATTCCATGGGCTATGCCGGTGAGTCTTCATGATATTTTCGTTTCGCGCCCGAATTTTCCACCTCAACTCGTGCACTCAACATCTGTTACCACTTTCGTTGCTCTTCGTCGTTCTTCGTTTCTATTCTCGTGCAGCCGTTACCGCGAACTACCGCATGTCGAAGGCCGAGGATTCGTGCTTCGTGATCATGAACTCGCACATCACCGGGCGCAACCAGGGCTGGCTCGGTCGCTCTTGGGGCAAATACGCCTGCACCGTCGTTGCCAACTCCTATATGGACAAGGCCGTTCGCCCTGACGGTAAGCGTGCTGGGGAGGAATTAGCATACATTTGCAGCCATTACCATCACCATTTTGCATGCTTTTCGTTTCGTACATGTCAAGGCACCTGTCCTGTCCTTTCCAGTAACGATTCTTTGTCCTGTCCTGTCCGCGCTCTGCATTTTCCCCGCCCTATGTCTCATTCTTTTTCCTTATTCCGTCTTTGTGTACAGGATGGAACGATTTCGGCGTCGTTGCGCGGCAAGTGAATTCGTTCTTTGCCGAGTACAACAACCGCGGCATCGGCGCGAACCTGGACGGCCGCGTGTGGTGGCAGAAGGTCATCGAACCCCCTCAGATCAAGAAGTACGTGACGACAGAGTACATCGGACTGAGCAAGTGGATCCGCGCGCTCCCCATCGCCCCCAAGAGGAGCGGAGGCGGCGGAGGCGGAAAGAAGGGCGGAAGCGGCGGAAGCAGCAAGAAGACTGCAGGCAAGTCGACGCAGCAGAGCGTCCCTGCGAAGAAGCCGCAGCAGCCAGCAGCGAAGAAGCCGCAGCAGCCAGCAGCGAAGAAGCCGCAGCAGCCAGCAGTAAAGAAGCCGCAACAGCCGGCGAAGAGGCCGCAGCAGCAGCAGCCCGCGAGGAAGCCGCAGCCTGCGCAAAAGAAGCCCCAAGCCAAGGCGACGACTCAGGAAGTTATCACCGAAGGTCAGCTCGCGGCTGCTGCTGACGTGGCTCCTGCTCTTGTCGCTGCTGCTGTTGCCTCGCCTCTGCAGGAGCAACAGCAGCCAGCCGTTGTGGCCCAGCCATACAGCGTGTGCCAGACGATGCAGCCGGATCTTGCTACCCGCAACACACTCTGTACGCGTTGCTGTCAGATCCGTGTTCCGGTACCAGAGCAGCGTGCCTGCATGGACGCTTGCATTGGGATATGAAATACAGGAAGTTGCTAACTGGGTGGGCTGGCTGGCTGGCCTGCTTACTCGTCATTCTGCGTGTAGCCGCTAGCGCACTCGGTATAGAAAACGTCTACATCAGATGCTGCTGATATAATTATGGGCTGGGGGGAGGGGCGTGGTTTGCCTGGAAGTGTGCTGCTAGTGGTTCTTGGTAAGGCTGGCGCCGGGACCGGCGGGAGGGACATCGAATGTTGGCGAACGCCTGTGAGTGAGAAATATACAATAGAATGCGCGGCGCCTGCGGTGGGCTCCTTTTTGCAATGGGGCTGTACAACGAGCAGATTTGTCCTGATAACTGTGTAGATTGATTGTAGGTGTTCCTATACAGACCTGGCAATAAATGGTGTTCCCTATGAATCTCAAATCCTAAACGCTAGACATTTCACGAGCCATTAAGCAAAATCACAGCTGTTATTTGCAATGCATATGCCAGCTTAATGATTAATTCAAGAAGCAAATGCCCTTGAATAGTCAGCCCTGACCTGACTTTTTTTAGCCGGGAGACTAAAGTTGGTACACAAAGATTTTTTCTCTGTGCGCGTATATGAGACTTTCCATAATACTTTGCCATACGGCGTACAGTTTTCACATTTCATTCCGAGAACCATGGCCTTGATTCGCTAGTTTCACAATCGCAAACCCTACACCCTCCACCTAAACGCGCCTATGGCCAGCCTAATTTCACCCGCGCCGCTACTTCTCGCGACTCGACGAACAGCTTTCGCGCCGCTTCTCCGTCGCACTGTGCACGAAGCTCGGAAAGAGGAGCTCTTGACGTCTCGTCGCTGGCGCCAAAATTCTTCCTCTGATTCATTATTAGCGGCGCATTCGTCTCACCGATTCCTTTCCGCCGTTCCTGCGCCTTTCGGCGCAGTCTGCACTCGCACGGGCGCGCGTTGCGCCGCTGCCGCCACGCCCGCTCCCGCCCCGCCTCCCGTCCCCGCGCCAGTCCCCGTGGTGCTGACGATCGCAGGATCGGATTCGGGCGGCGGGGCCGGAATCCAGGCGGATATCAAATCGACCGCGGCGCACGGCGCGTGGTGCGCGACGGCGATCACGGCGGTGACGGCGCAGAACACACGTGGCGTGCAGTTCGCGCACGCCGTCGGCGCGGATGCCGTGGTGGCGCAATTGAGGAGCGTGCTGAGCGACCTCCCTGTTGCCGCTGTAAGAGGGGGGGGAGGGGGGGAGGGGGTTGGAGGGGGGTTGTGGGGGGGCGGGGGGAAGAGGGAATGCGCGGATGCGGTGGTGGCGCAATTGAGGAGCGTGCTGAGCGACCTCCCTGTTGCCGCTGTAAGAGGGGGGGGAGGGGGGGAAGGGGTTGGAGGGGGGTTGTGGGGGGGCGGGGGGAAGAGGGAATGCGCGGATGCGGTGGTGGCGCAATTGAGGAGCGTGCTTAGCGACCAGCCTGTCGCCGCTGTAAGGGGGGGAAGAGAGAGAGAGAGAGGGGGGCAGGGGGGGGGGAGGAGCGGGGGAGGAGGGGGAGGGGGGAGGGGGGAGGGGGGAGGGGGGAGGGGGGAGGGGGGAGGGGGGGGAGGGGTGAGGGCGGGAGGGGGGAAGGGGGAGAGGGGGAAGGGGAATGGCGAGTTCAGATGGCACAACCGGCGAGTCTATTATCATGCCAATTGCACGACCTCTGGCAGCACACCATACCGTAGGTTGCCAAATCCCGTGGGCTGTCAACCCTCTACCTCCGTATCCGTACCTTTTCCGTCCCCCCTTCTCTTCTCGCTCTCCCCTTCCCTCTCCCTCCACTCCCCTCCCCATCCCCCTTTCACCCCCGCTTCCCCCATCCTTCCACACCCCCTCGTCCCTCCATGGTCCACAAGTCCACGCGCTGTCAAACGCATGCCAGCATGGAAGCTGCTGTGTGTGTCTGCCAAACCCCCTACTCTTCCCACACGTCCCCACCGCCAGCCACACTCAAACCCTCCCCCAATCTCGCCCCCATTCCTCCGTTCCTCTGCTCGACAGGTCAAGACGGGTATGCTGCCAAATGCGGAGGTGGTGTCTGCTGTGTGTGACTTTATGGAAGCAGAAGCACAAGGAGGTGAGACCAACGGCTATCACCTTTTGAGACGCTCTTATAATGGAGGCTGCTGCTGTTAGCGATGTGATAGTAGGAGAAGGAAAGGGCGGGAGGGGGAGGGGAGGGGGGGTGTTGGAAAGGGGGGGTGGCGGGGGTGGGGTGGGTGGATTTTGGGGAGCACGGGTGGCAAACGGGGGAAAAAGAACACAAAGTATCCTTGTCTATCTAGGGCGTGGCAGCTGGGCGTCCTGGGGTTAGGTGCTGCTGTTGAATGGTGGAATCTACAAACAATGTGGGAGGTGAGGGTGGGGTGGAGGGGGTGCTGTTCTTTTTTAGAACTCTGCGGTGTTGTGAGCCGGGGGCTCGTTTTTTTCTATGATTAGGGTACGATTTTGTGCTAAGATTCGAAGGACCCTTTCCTTTCTAACACCCCCTGTCTCCTCTGCCCCTCACCCCTCCATACCCTCGCCCTCTCCTCTCTGTCCGTCTCTCCACGCTCTGCATTTGTCCCATCCCACCAGTCCCTCTGGTAAACCCAGTTCTCATCGTGACAATTGAATGGTGCTCGTCCTGGCTCATTCCTCCTGTCCTGTCCCTCTGCCTCTCACCCCTCCACACCCTTGCCCTCTCGTCTCTGTCCGTCTCTCCACTCTCTGCATTTGTCCCATCCCACCAGTCCCTCTGGTAGACCCAGTGCTCGTGGCATTCAATGAGCTGTCTCATCTCATGCATCCTTCCATTCCCCGCTTCCCCTTTCCGCTCTTCTGCTGTTCCCTCTTCCCCCCCTCTTCCCCTCATCCCTCTTCCCCTCGCCGCTCCCCTTGCCCCTCTTTCCCACCTCCCTCTTTTCCTCTCTGTCCTTCTTTGTGTTCTTCTTCTTCTACTTCTTCTTATTCTTCTTCTTCTTCTACTTCTTCGTGTGGTGTCCCCCCATCAGTCCCTCTGGTGGTAGACCCGGTTCTCGTGGCATTTAATGACGTTTCTCATGCATCCTTCAATTTCCCGCTTCCCCTTTCCCCTCTTCCGCTCTCCCCTCTTGTCCTCTCTGTCCCTCTTTGTGTTCTTCGTGTGATGTCCCCCCATCAGTCCCTCTGGTGGTAGACCCAGTACTCGTGGCATCCAGTGGGGACACTCTAGCAGACAACCAAGCCATGCAGCTGATTCGGTGCGAAGTGGTGATGCGGGGTGGGGTGCGGTGGGGTTATGTATCTGTGAGTGTGAGGTTTGGTTGCCTGTGTAAGAAATAACTGGCGACCTTGGTTTGGTGGATAACTAGTTTGTTGGTGCGGCGTCTTAGGTTTGGTGTCCATACCAAGTTCTGAGTGTGTTTGAGTAATTATATACGTTGTTTGATTTGACCCACTTATCTCTCCAAGGCAAGGTAAACTGCTCAACCTAAGGGACGCGGAAGCATTGCTGCTGGTGCTGCTGGTGCTGCTGGTGCTGCTGGTGCTGCTGGTGCTGCGGCTGTTGTGGTTGTGCTGACTATCTCTTGAGCCGTGCCGATTCTGATACTGTCTCATACTTCTCATCCCTCTCCCTCCCCTAAGCCGCAGCTCTTGCCTCATTCCCCTGGCCTCTGTTGTCACGCCCAACCTCCGAGAGGCTGAGGCCCTGCTGCTGCTTGCTCTGCTGCTTGCTCTGCTGCGGCTGTGCTGATACCTACTTTCACATTATTTTCTCGTCTCACTCTTTCCATCTCTCTCCCTCCCCTAAACTCCAGCTCTCGCCTAATCCCCCTGGCCACTGTTGTCACGCCCAACCTCCGAGAGGCTGAGGCCCTGCTGCTGCTTGCGCCAGGGTCCGTCCGAACAACCGAGGACATGAGGCGAGCAGCCAAGGAGATTCACGCTCTTGGTGCCAGGTGAGAGGGAGATTCGGAAGATCATTCACTCAAACAACTGACAGAGGGCCTGCCTGCCTGAGGAGAGCGCCAGAGCAGACTCATGCTCTTGGTGCCAGGTGAGAGGGAGTTTGAGTGGGTGAAAATGTTCTAAATGTCCACAAGCTAAAAAACCATCTCTTTGGTGAGAGGAGATTCTAGATCTGGGGAAAGGTATGTCTCTTTGGTGATTCGCAAACATCGCGCTATTCTACTCGTCTCACTTCTGCCGCGCAAAAAGCTGTCGGAACTCGTTTTGCAGAGTTGCCAACAGCATTTGATCTGCGGGTTGCTAGCTGTGTTCGTACGTCGGCCCTCTAGTTATCTCTGTGAATCCTTTCTCCCCCTTATGCATGTGAATGTGCGTGCTTGTAATCTTCCCCTTTGCCCGTGCTTGTGAATGTGCGTGTGCCTCTGCCTCGGCCTCTGCTCTGCCTATTTCGTTTTTTTTTTTTTTTTTTTTTTTTGTCTGTGATTCTGCAGGTCGGTGCTAGTAAAGGGTGGCCATTTGGAAGGGGAAAAAGCAACGGACGTATTCTATGATGGTAAGTCAAGGCTTCATAACCTTCGGTCGGGCCAAGAACCCTTAAATTGGTTCAACCTTCCTGACTTTGGTTGAGTTTGACTCTAGCACCCAAAATCTCGGCCAATCGCGTTTCTCGCCCCAACCAACCTTCCTAACTTTGAACAACTTGGCCCGCGGGCTTTAAACAGCAAAAAGAGGGAGATTACGTCAATCAGCCCCATAAATGACTCAGCCCAGCTCCCCTCTTCGTAATCCTCTTCTCTCCCTCTTACCACAATCCCTGCCTATCATTTTCTATTTCCTCCTATCCTCCACTCACCCCCTCTCTCCCATCCCTGGTTCCTTAAACCGTCCTGTTTGCGCACCATAGCCCAGATGATCCTTTAGCCGACTTAAGAACCATGTGCTAAGCTAACCTACCCTCACACTCACTCCCCATCTCTCGCCTCTCGTATCCTCTCCCTTAACTTCCTTCTCTTCGTCCTTCATGCCCCCCCGTGCCCCCCAACCCAACTCTACTTGACCAACCAAACCAATTCTTGTTTTCATGATACAACTCGCCTTCCCTTCTCTGTCCTCCCCTCCCTTGTCCTTTGGACCCCAATATTCACTTGTCAGGTGCTTCAACTTGTCGTCCCCACTCTTCTGCAACTCACCCTCTCCTGCCCTTTGCCCTTCATCCCCCCCTCCTCCACCCCCATCCCCCAACCCCTTTCCTGGCAGGATCGGCCTTCCATGAGCTATCGGCCCCCCCCCCTTACCACGGCCAACACGTGCGATGCCAATTGCTTCATTTTCTCTCCCCTCCTGCCTCCACCTCCACCCCACCCCACCCCCCTTCCCCTCCCCTCTCCCCTCCCCACCACCCCCCCCTCCTCCTCTCCCCCCACCATACCCCTCTCTTCATTGGCAGGATCGGCCTTCCATGAGTTATCGTCGCCCCGCCTCGCCACGACCAACACGCACGGCACTGGGTGCAGCATGGCCGCGAGTGTGGCTGCAGGGCTGGCGCAGGGGCGAGGGGTGAAGCAGGCAGTGGTGGTGAGTGCAGGGAAAGGGGTGGAGAGGGGTGGAGTGCGGTGGAGAGTGGGAACGTACTGCCCACAGGGGCGAGGGGTGTAGCAGGCAGTGCTGGTGTACATGTGGGGAGCGGATGAGGAGGGGGATGGGGAGGGGGATGGAGAGGGGATGGGGAGGGGGATGGGGAGGGGGAGGGTGAAGGGATGGGGAGGGGGATGGGGAGGGGGATGGGGAGGGGATGGGGAGGGGGATGGGGAGAGGGATGAGTTCTTTTCGTGTTCTGATAAACGTTGAAGGGTACTGTATATTGTCTATGCATCTCTTCTTGTTTTTTTTTTTTTTTTGGTAATCGACACAAAGCCCTGCCTTTCAACTCTGTGCCTCTATTCCTTCCCCCACCTTTCCCCCCGCCCTCTTCCCGTCCGTTCCGTTCTCTCTCGCGCACTTCCCCTTTGCCCACCCGCTCCTGCCCTCGCCTCTGCCCCTCCTTGTCCCCACACTTCTAAATTCATCGACCAACTCCCCGTCTTCACTCTCTGCCTCCCCTTTCCCTCCTCTCCACCTTTGCCCTTCTTTTCCACCCTCCGTTCCCTCCTCCACTTTTCTCCCCCCTTCTCCCCTCCTCTCTTCCCCCATCTCCCCCCTTCCCCCCCCTTCCAACCAGGACGCAAAGGCCTACCTTTCCCACATCCTCGCTAAGAGCCTCCCCATTACCATGGGCAGCGGCCCGCAGGGCCCTCTCAACCACCTCCCCCTGGTGTGCCATTTCGGCCTGCCAAATGCCCGCGCAGCCTTCCACCCAGCCCAGCTGCGGCTGTACGCAGTGACTGACTCTAGGATGAACAAGGCGTGGGGGCGGAGCGTAGGGGATGCGATACGCGAGGCGATTGCTGGTGGAGCCACGCTCCTGCAGATCCGGTGAGTAGAGAAAGTGACATGGTGGGATGGGGTGCGATGCACACAGAGATGGGAGTGCAGCTGCAGTGGGGGTAAGGGGCTTAGAACAGCTCAGTTGTGAGTGCGTACGAGAAGCACACACACACGGCATGCCCAGCCGGCCTATTGGAAGGCAGCTGCTTTGCAGCCTTCGACACCCGGGGCAGCTGCGGCTGTACGCAGTGACTGACTCTAGGATGAACCGGGCGTGGGGGCGGAGCGTGGGGGCGGAGCGTGGGGGCAAGATAGCAATGGAAGTTCGATAGCGCAAGTTGAGTTTGGGGCACGACCTGCACGACCCACACGACCCGCACGACCCACACGGCCCGCACTGAATGATGGACCGGCGGGCCTGACCCACCGCCAGCCTGCCTGTCCAAAGTTGGGCCCGATTGGCCTTCTGGTAGGCCTGGCTGAAGCTCGTTTCTAGAGTGCAATGTGATAGTAAGGTGTGCAATGTGATAGTAAGGTGTGCAATGTGATAGTAAGGTGTGCAATGTGATAGTAAGGTGTGCAATGTGATAGTAAGGTGTGCAATGTGATAGTAAGGTGTGCAATGTGATAGTAAGGTGTGCAATGTGATAATAAGGTGTGCAATTGGATAATCTGGTGTGCAGTGCGAAAGTTCGGTGTGCAATGCGATAGTCTGGTGTGCAATGCGATAGTCTGGTGTGCAATGCGATAGTCTGGTGTGCAATGCGACATGGACAGTCTGCTGCTCTGTCATGAACTGAAAAGGTGCTTCTTGTTTTTCCTCTCCTGTCCTCTTGTCTTCTTGGTTGGTCTGTTTGCGGTGGTGGTGTTTGCAGGGAGAAGGACATTGAAACTGGTGACTTCGTTCAGGTGGGTGCCCCCATCGTTGGATGCTAAGGGAACCGAGGCCACTGGGGTCCACAAGGGGCACTGGGGCCAGTAGGGGCACTGGGGCCAGTAGGGGCACTGGGGCCAGTAGGGGCAATAGGGACAATGGGGCCACGTGGGTGATAGGAGCAGTATGAGGGCACTCAGGGCGAGATGGGCTACTAGGGGCACTGGGGTTGTTAGGGGCATCCTGGTCACAAGGGGTACTAGGGACAGTGGGGACAGAAGGGCATTAGGGTGGATACAAGTAACTTCCCCGTTCTCCCCAACAAATCTTATGCTACGGTGGTGATGCCACTGTTGTTCCATGTGCCATGTGCCAAGCTGTGCCATGCTGTGCCATGCGCCATGTGCCACGTGTGATGCTGTGCCATACGCCCTCTCTCCAGCTTCTCCCTTCTGCCACCCACATACCCATTCCATAATGGGAACCCCACATGGAACCCCACATGGAACCCCACATGGAACCCCACATGGAACCCCACATGGAACCCCACATGGAACCCCCATTCCATGCTTGTCCTTTTTACTACCTTTCCCTTTCCCCTTCCCCCTCCCGTTTCCTCCTCGCCTACAAATCCTTGCTCGCCTATCCTTCCCTTACCCCACTTGCCCCATTGCCCCCTTCCCCTTCCCCTTCCCCCTCCCTTCCTCCCCACCACCCCCCATCCCACCCCACCACCCAACCCCGCCTTCCCTTTCCTCTGCCCACTTGCCCTCCTCTCCTCCCCCTACCCCACGTGCCCCCTGCCCCCTTCCCCTTCCCCCTTCCTCCCCCCCCCCCCTCCCCCCTCCATCCCACCCCACCACCCAACCCCTCCCCACAGCAAGCGGCGGAGGCGGTGGCAGTGGCGAGGGCACACGGCATCCCGTTGGTGATAAACGACCGTGTGGACGTGGCCCTGGCAGTGGATGCAGACGGCATTCACGTGGGGCAATCCGACATGGATGCTGCTACAGTCAGGCAAATCCTCGGCCCAACGAGAATCATCGGTGTCTCGTGTAAGAGCCGGGAGCACGCGGAGAAGGCGTGGCGGGACGGCGCGGATTATATCGGGGTCGGGGGTGTATTCCCGACAAATACCAAGGAGAATAACAAAACGATTGGCGTGGAGGGGCTTGCAGATGTGTGTCTTGTGTCGAAGCTTCCAGTTGTGGCTATAGGGGGGATAAAAGGAGGGAATATTTTGGATGTGGTGAAAGGAGTGGCTGCTGCTGGGGCAAGTGGCACGGATGGGGCGGCACCTGCAGGAGAATCTTCAGGTGAATCTAGAGACGTCTGGGAAGGGAGTGCGTGTGGAGCATTTGGAGGGGTTGCTGTGGTGTCTGGTATTTTCAACCAGGCAGATATTGTGGCAGCAACAAAGGGGCTGGTTAAAGCCCTGGATGCTGCGGAGAATGGCACACCTTTGTGTAAATGAACCTTTAGTGGACTGCAGACATTTTTTACTGTAGTCGTATGTGGCTACCAGTATATGATATTGGAAGGTTCAGTTCAGTGCTGTAATGAAGCTATCGTATTGAATACAGTGTATTGCATTCCCCCGTAAATACTGTACTAGGACCCCCTGGAAAGAAAATCTCCTGGGCCGGGATTCTACTGGTATTGAGAAAAGGGTCTACATATCGGCAGGGCTCTACGGGGACCTCCTTTTTGCTACCGTATACAAAATCTAAGGATCCCGTTGTGTATACAGTAGGTTAGAATGAAGTTGTGCACTTTTCATGCGAACTGTACGAGTATGCCGTAGGTAAGTAGAAGCAGCATAATAGATTACACAAGGAATATGTAACGCAATAATATGGGCCACAACCAATACACATACATACATCCTAAATCCAGCTTCTGAGAAATGACAAGAGGGATCAACATACAATAGTACAGCCACCATGTCAAGGATCGGACAAGGCAGTAGTACCGGTACCGGTTACTGGAACGCACACCGGAATGACTGGGATTGGTACGGTACGGTAGTAGGCCCTGCTCTCACCTTAACACGACATGGCATACCCTGAGATGAAATTTACACATTAATTTAGCGTGGCACATTTATCATTTATCTAGCGTGGCACGCATATGAACTTTGACCCAACATTCTTGGCACAGGCATTGCCATTGTAGGTATTAAAATCTGAAGCTGCTTGGGTCATAGTGCCGCCATAGTAGCTGTAAGCAGCGGAACAGGAAAGCGATGGCGACACATTCTTGGGCCGGCCCTTATTGCATTTACCGAGTTCAAATGGCCAATATTCCGCCTTGAGGCACACCTGAGAGTGCAGGAAGGGCAGAGGGCAGAGGGCAGAGGGGGATGGAGGGGAAGGAAAACACAAGACAGATGACAATCATGCAACAAGGGCAGGTAGTAGACGGATGATTATATCATACATGCAAAAACAAATAGCATAAGTGAACACAGTGATGGAAAAACTTCACACTGCTCATTATTCTCTCAATCTACCACCTCCCCTGCCCAATCCTGTTCCTGCCCCACTTCCAACCCTTACCTCCACGCCAGCATTGCTGCCAACAGCCGAGGCAGAGGAGGGGACGACGTTGGAGCAGAGAAGACCGGGATTGTTGCGGTAGAGCTCAGCCCAGATAGACGGATCGTTCTGCAATCCTTGCCCCTGCAGCATTTTCTCGCACGTGTCGTCTGCTGTGAGAATGGTGTATTTCACACACTCAGGGACGCTGTAGGCATAGGTTTCGTTGCGCTCCACACAGATAGAACGGCCGGCCTTCATGGTTTGCACGCAGTCAAGGCCGGGGTTGAGATTCAGGAGATCAGTCACGGTGGTGCGAAGAGAGGTGGCAATGGAAAGACACGTGTCGCCCTGGAGGGTGAAGGGAGCATGGAAGGGGATGAAACATGATAAGTGATAAGTCTTTGCACCCAAAGAAAAAAAACATGGGACATGAAAAGGGCTCCAAAACTCACGCTGAGAGTGTAGAAGTAGGCAGTGCAGGGGATGGCAGGAGTATCGACGATCCGAAGCGTTCTCCCTTTTGTCAAGGCCTTGGTGCAGACAAGTGACTGCATTGAGAAGCACAGACACATGGGGGGGCATCCAGAGGCACACATATGAAGGGCAGCAAGAAGTGCATGCATGTTGTTTGCAAGCCGGTTTCAACCTCCAGAACCTTGCTCCCTTCTGGCTAGCCAATCAACCGTGCGCCTCACATATGCCTGCGCCTCACATATGCCTGCGCCTCACATATGCCTGCGCATCACATCTGCCTGCGCCTCACATATGCCTGCGCCTCACATATGCCTGCGCCTCACATATGCCTGCGCCTCACATTCCATCCTATGATTTCCATGTGTGTGTACCATAGAAGCATGTCAGCCAGCAAGCCAGTTACCCTCCTCCGTGCCCTTGTCGTGCATGCCCTTGTCTCCCCCGTGTCTGATTAGTCTCTCCTTACTGGGTTCTGCGATGTGAACTGCGATAGGGTGAGGCCCACGAGAGGAGAGATGTCGGAGCACCACCAGTTGTCACCTCTCACAATCAAGTTGACGGCGGTGGTGTTAGCTGGAAGACGGAGCGGGGAGTGAAGGAAGGAGAAGATTGGGCAAAATGTGTTGAAGAACCACGGATGAGAGTGAAGAAGCACGAATGACAGTGAGAGAATCAAGGTGAAAGGGCAGGGTATGATTCCAAGCGACTTCTAGCTTCACTACTGGAAAAGTGAGAATTCGATTCAAGAAAAGGCAAGAGAGGGGTATAGCTGTTGGAGAATCAAGGAGGAGGAGGAAGGTGGGGGTGCAGCAGCACCTGGGTCGCAGGTGGGGAAGTTGTCGATGGTTGTGCTGGGGACGTAGTTGAGAGGGCAGATGCAGGAGTAGGAGCCCTTTCCATCGTTGATGCATGTGCCCACGGCGCAAGGATTCTTGAAGTATGACCCACACACGTCCACTGACAAAGGCGGACGAGAGAGAAGGAGAGAGAGAGGAGGAAGAGGATGGAGGGAGGCATAGAGTTTTTTTTTTCGGTGCAAAAAGAGTGGAAACAAGTAAAGTGAGCGTGAATTCTTCGCTGTCATGTCTGCCTGTCCTCTAGAACCGTGTCTCTCAATCTCGGTTGGTCTTACGTTCACTTAGGTTGCCCAAGAAGACATGTCTTGCAAACAGAAAACAGCACAAAAATGTCTGGCACATGGAAAACATGTGTTATCTGAGGCATGTCTCACCATAGACACAGGTGCTTCCATAGCCGTTTGCAGCCTCAATGAAGGGCTGCTTGGTCTGAGGGGCAGGAAGTGTGCAGGTGCAGGTGTTGTTGTTGGTCTTGGGGAGGGGCGTGCAGGTGAAGCGACCGCACGGGTTCATGCTGGGCTGCAGATCTCCATCGCCCTTGTAACTCTTCAAGCCACATGGGTCCCCTGGAACTGCATGGCACAAAAGCGGACAAAAACGTGGGATAGGGAGATTAAAGAAGGTGTGCATGCATAAAGGGATGATTGATGAAAAGAAACACGAGATAATAGCAGTCATATCGATAGAGACGGAGAAACGAACGATAGCTGTCTTTCCATATGTTGGTTTAAAAAGCAAGTTGCAACTGAATATGAAGCACATGCCACATATGCGTCAACAAGAGCCAGAATAATGCCCATGTAATGTGTGTGGGTCAGATAACGATAATAGGGTAGATGCCTGACTCTTGACAATGGGGTAGATGCCAGGCAGCACGTTGATGCCACACACGCCATCCCCTCCCTGCATGTCCATGCGCATGTGGCCCCTGTCGCCCCATGCTTCGCCCCACGAGTTGCGAATGATCCAAAACGGAGGCGCAATGCGATTCTCACTCCCATCATTCCTCAACACGAGGTAGCCAATAACGAGTACAACGTGATTGAGGTTACCGTTATAGCAGCCAGGGTCCTGGTACTTGAAGGTCTGGAGACACAAGGGCAATTGAAAAAGCGTAACGCAGGAATGAGGTGTACGATCATTGCAGAAGTCAATTATCAGATTCCAAACATGCATGCACGCCTTCACACACACATGCACACGCATGCATGCACACACTCACTCACTCACTCACTCACACACACACACACACACACACACACACACACAGAATAAATCCAGCACACATACCAGAACAGAGTGACTAGACTTTAGGACAAAACCGAACACCTGCTCACACAGGACTTGCCATACCACACACACACAGTATACACTGGACGCTACTCTGCCCAGGCAGCACTCACTCCATCGTATTTGGCGAACGAGGCAGCAGTGGCTTGAACGTGAACCACCACTGGCTGCCGCTGCACTGCCAGCATGAGCCCCACATACCCCTTGAATGCAGTGCGCTCAAATCCCTGGACAGGGAACGTGATTTTCTGGAGCAAGAAGATTTTGACAGGGTTGGGAAGAGAGGCGATTTTCAGGTAAAAGGGCAAAAGAAGGTGAGTGTGTAAGGCTCTAAGCAGCCACAATGTATCATCATCACCACTATCATTGCTTGCATGGCCTTCAAAAGCCTAATTCCTTCCCAAACCTTCAAAAGCCTAATTGCTTGCATGGCCTTCAACATACATGGGTAAGTATTTCTACCTCACAATGACATACTTACAGCCTTCCATACCTTACTCCCTTACATACCGCATTGCCCTGCATGGTAATGGCCCCCTTAGGCAGCGCCATTAGCTTCTCAAACGCTTCAGTTGGAGAGCCTCCAGCAGTGCACTTGGCTGCCTGGGTGGTGAGATTCATGGCTGTGAAGAGCGAATCCACTGAGATCACTGGCGCCTCTTGATTCATTGCAATGCCGTATGCTGCTTCTATGCTCGACACCACTGCGTATGCCCAGCACGCATCTGAAGGAGAGGGCATGGACGGCGCACAGAAGGAACAGCAGGAAATACCTTTTATGGTGGCAGCAGTGGTGCTGAAAAAGAACTAATGCAGGAAAGATGGTCCAGAAATGAGTCAGAATTGGCACTGAAAACTTGAGACTCCGCACACACACACACACACACACACACACACACACACACACACACACACACACACAAAAAATCAAGCATGCTGCATTTCTCACAACAGTACGCCTGCCCCAAATACAGTTGCGGTCCCCTGTTGGGTTGGTTGGCACTCACTGCAATCGCCCTGGTCCTTGACGGGCCAGCCGAGGAAGGGCACAGAGTCCCATGAGTGGAGGTCCCTGAAGACCCACGAGTCCTTCTGCCCGGCCGACACTCGGTAGTCCGCACTCACATAGCGCGGGAAGGGGCTCGCCCGTGTAGGCAGGTATGTATTCAGTGATACGTCTAAACCGTAGGCTGTAGTGGGTGGGAGAATAGGTGTGAGGATTTGGGAAGGGTGATGGGAGCGGGAGAGGGACGACAGCGCGAGGAGAAAAGGTGGAGGTTGAGAGAACGTGAAGTGACAGATGGGAAATGTTACAGCAGGTCTGGGTGAAATGAGAAGGCATAATTTTATGTCCTGTAGGTCTTATCCAAGAAAGTGAGCAGTCAAAAGCAATCACGGGGCAGGTGGCGGCAGGCCAATATGTGCCTGCCAAATCTGAGCCTGCCAAATCTGAGCCTGCCAAATCTGTGCCTGCCAGATCTGTGCCTGCCAGATCTGTGCGTGCCAAATCGAAACCCACCTCATAAGCTCCTCACAAGGGTCTCTTCATTGCTATGGGCAGGTTGAGAACTGTGAAAATGAGGAATGTGTATGTTGGGCTCGGCGAGGTTCGCCCAATCCAACCATGGGCAGCCTGGTTTGGGCACTAACTACGACCATCCGATTCATAGATGCTTTTGTGGGTGGGTGGGCTGAGGGCTATAGGCCGGCCCTGGTCCGGTCCGGTCAAGGCCCACCTAGGTCAGCCCTTATGAATGTCTATTAAGAAACATCCATCCGAGATGTTTTCTGGCGACTGTTACAATGATTTTTCCAGGTGCTGATCAGGTATCACTTGCTCGCTAAACTGTGTGTTAACAAGAGGCGTGCAATGACTTGCCTGGAGTGATGTCGACTGGCCCCCGCACAGGAGGAGCATCTGCCAAAGGGGAAGCAGGCAAGAAGGAAAGGAAGAAAATCAGAAAAAACAAAAAATGGTTCGAAACTAGGAGCAACGCACTGGTGGTGTTTGAGAAAGCGCAGCCAAGGCATCCGTCGGCAAGGTCCACTAGGAAGGGCCCACTCATTGGGTCCAATGGGGCCGCCAGCTTCCTACCTGTACGCAGGGCAGAGCAGAGCTGACGATACACTACATCCTTGCAATCTCTCTGCACATTCGAAGGAGGGAGGGAGCTACGGCCTTCCACACCTGTGGCAGAGGTGAGGAGGGCACCCACCTGTGCGCAGGTAAGAGCTCGTAATGGCTTGAATCGTGAACGGCTTGACTGTGGTAGACGCCACAAAGCCAAAGTAGAACGCCCGCGGCAGCTGCACCATCCCCTCCCCCTGCGGTGGTCCCGGCTGCAGCACCGCACACAGCGACAGCCGCCTGTCTAGCAGCGGCTTTGCCGGCTTCACTGCTGTTGTTGCCAGGAATACCTGGATGGTGCCAGGGTCCCCAGGCACATAGTCCACCCATGCCGTGTATGGCTTTTTGTTTGCCAGTAGGAATGGGGACTTCACAGCAGCGATTGATGTGTCCTGGCCGTTGATATTCAGCCCCACATGCTGGTCTTTCATGTCGTTGTGCGGCTTGTTTTGAAGCACGTCAAACTCAATCGCCATGCTTCGGTTGTCCATTCCACCGAACCCCACTCCAACACTGCTCCCCACAGTCTTGGTTGCCGAGACGACAAAAGCGAAGCCATTTGAAGCAGCCTTCGCTTTGGGTGAGAGGGCGAAGGTGAAGTTGACACTGAAGGCCAGCTCAAACCCACAGCCTGGGTCCTCTCGCCCATTCTCATACACAAAGAGGGGCACCGGATCAGAAGTGAACGCTCCTTTGGCCTCTGCTTTCAGTCCCGCTGTCAGCACGGTTGACGGTGGAAGCATTGCCTTTTCGAGTGGAGCGGCAAGGACCGATTCTATAAACCAGTTGAAAAGGGTGGGAAGAAGAAAGCAAGGGAGGAAGAGATGTTAGGGGGGTGTGCGAGGTTGAAGTTTGCGGAGTTTAAAGTGTATTTAAAGGGTGGTGTGAAGTGTAAAATGAATGATGATGTCTGGTTGAATGCGGGTAGACGGAAAATCAAAGTAGAGACCCTGTTTGAGAACACATGCACGTGGCTTTTCTCCACTCAGCAATTTACCTGCAGCAAGACAATACGTCCTTCGAAACGTGTAGAACCCCGTTTCACACACGCAGGTGGGCACCAAGTTAGGTCCGTCGGGATAGCACAACACCCCATGGCCGCTGCAACCGCCAGCGGCAGAACCCATTGAGATGCCGCAAAACGCCCGGCATGTTGACTGCGTGCGTTGCACCGGTGTGGTTTCTCCCGAAGCCAGTTTGAAGCAGTTGGAATCGAGCAAGTCTGACGGCTGTGCAGGCAGAGTGCCCGAGAGGTAGTTGTATGAAAGCACAGCCAGCACGTTAGCTGGCTTCACAAAGCCGCCTGTGAGATAGTTGTGAGAGAGGTCGCTGTGGGGGTGGGGCAAAATCAGGAAGTCAGGGCCGAAAGACAGTGGGAGATAGCGTGTTAGTCATTTCAAAGCACCTGAAGGCGACAAGGTGAGGTTGAGACGGATACCATGTGTGGTTGTTGGTACAAACGAGCTGTGCTGTGGGTGAAGATGCTGTGTTGGTAGGAGGCAATGGGTGAAGGCGGCATTTTGTGTTCCTGTTGCGCTGTAACGTTCACCGATACATTTTCTAGATCAAGGCAGCAATGTTGTGGTTGATTGATATGAGTATGCGAGGATGATGCATGCAAGGGTTGACAGGATGCTTTAGAGCAACGTACATATTGAGTAAAGCAGCAGTTGTTCAGAAAAAAGTGTGTTTTTCATCAGATGAGTGCACTCATGTGGAGATTGAGTAAAGCAGCATGTGGTTGCGTGCGGGCGCGAGGATGTGCACAAGCGAGCATGTCTTACTAAGTCTTGAGGTTTGTGAGCAGCGTGACTGAGTCTGGTATGCGTCCAAAAAAATTGTTGTTGGACAGAGATCTGCAAGCCATCATGGTGAAGGCATGGTGAAGGCATGGCATTTGACAAGCACGTGTGCATGCACACATGGAAGAGGGGAGGCAAAAAGAGGAGAGGAGCGGATGAGAAAAGAGAAGATGAGAGGACAGCAGATCAGAGGAGGAAATCAGGAGGAGAGGAGAGGAGAGGAGACAGCACTGTACTAGTGGAGTCCAGAATGGGAAAGGATGGTGGAGTGGAGGCTCAAGACTTATGCAAAGGTTCTTTGTTTTCAAGATGAAAGAGCTTGTGCCCATAGTGGCTAGGAGAGATACCATGGTGACAAACGTTGGTAAAGTGTGCACGGAGGTTCCGTTGCGGCTGCTAGGGAAGCTATGGCAAAAAAATGTAATGAGTTCCTTACAATTACCATTCATGAGTTCAAGTACGGATATGCTAGGCAGGGCAGGGCGTCACACTGAAACAGTCTTGTTCAGGGAATTTTCAAGTTAGGTTGGCCACACACAGTACAGTACAGATGTGCTTTGAATACAAGTTCAGTTCCTTTATAAGAGCAGCCTTGAACATTTCCTGTTCAACCATCCAGCTGCCAGCCAGCATGACGTGCCTTGTACATGCCTGTCGGGACACTACACTACATTACCGTGCCTCCCTTTCTTCGTACCCCTCACCCTCTTCCTTCCAGAGCACCTGGGCGGAGCACACAGTGCTGAGTCCTGACTCCTGACCCTGCCCATAGTGGGCCACAGCATGGTTTGCCTCTCTCCTAGCTGCAGCCAGCACATTATACCACTGGCATGGCTCGGGTCCAGGAGCAGTGTCAAACCGGTTCAGTTGTTCGACAGGGCTCGGGTCGGGACCTTAAAAGACAAACTGGCAGAACCAGGCTCAGCCACAAGTGCTGGTTAGAATCCAATTGGGGAGGCAGAAGTAACTTCTTGCTCTGGTTGAGCAGTGAACCGAACCAGCTCTAACCGGAATGGAACTGGTTCAGTTCTCATACCTACAACAAGGCGCGGGCCATATTTGGTTATCATCCCTTTCACACATGCTTGCCATACACACTTAACAATCTCCACTCACAAATTTCTGATTTCGACAAGGTTGCCAATTGCAGATGGAAGTGTTTGAGTGAGCTTGTTACCGTCAAGCCACCTGCACAGACAGAATGACAGGCATGGGGAATGACAGGCATGGGGAATGACAGGCATGGGGAATGACAGGCATGGGGAATGACAGGCATGGGGAATGACAGGCATGGGGAATGACAGGGATGGGGAATGACAGGCATGGGGAATGACAGGCATGGGGAATGACAGGCATGGGGAATGACAGGGATGGGGAATGACAGGCATGGGGAATGACAGGGATGGGGAATGACAGCCAAGGTGAATCACAGCCAGGGTGGATGGAAGCCATGTTGCAGACTTACCATCAACGCAAAAGTGCATACAGCTCTGCTGGTGCATCATCCTTTTCTGTGCCCATGGTTAAACGCTGATGTGTATGCTGCCCATGGACTATTGATATTCTGTGGTTAACCGTTCTAGTTTTTAGTCACCAGCGCCTTCTCATCATCTGTGCATGCATGTAGTTGTTATGCTTCCTCAGAATCACTCCCATCCCCATGTCATTCCTGGGCACATGAGGTTTCTGGATGCATGAGGATTCGTTCGCCTTACAGCTCCTGGAGGGCTGTCAGTGCGGAGAGGCTCTCTGGGAAGGACCCTGACAGCTGGTTCAGCCTCAGATCCCTGCCACACAGAGAGAAGACACACAAAAGGAGAGACAGACAGGAGAGACAGGGCTATTAGGATAGAGCATAGGAGAGGTCTGGCAAGGAAGAGTGCGTATAATGGCCATAATGGACAGGGATTGGTTGCTTGCACACATAATGGACAAGGTGCGTGACGCTCTCAAATGTTTGAAGGGGACTGTGTGACATTGTAGAAATGGCAAGGAATGATAAAGGAGTGGTTGCATAGAAAGGTGTGACAGGGCAGGGCGAGAGGAGAACCAATTGAGTGCCAGCAGACAGGACTAGAAAGCTGGCAGTTCGTTCCAGGGGGGCTTACAGGTAAGTGAGCTTCTGTAAGGAACTCATTTCAGATGGAATGGAGCCTGACAGCTGATTACTGGCCAATTTCCTATGGGCAACAGCAGGGGTACAGGGGAGGGTGGTAGAGGTATATGAGAATGGGATAGGTGTGTGTGTGTGTGTGTGTGTGTGTGTGTGTGTGTGTGTGTGTGTGTGTGTGTGTGTGTGTGTGTGTGTGTGTGTGTGTGTGTGTGTGTGTGTGTGTAGCGTGCTCATGCGGTTTTCTGGTGATAACCAGAAAACGAGCTCTGGTTGCAGTAGTATAGATGGCGCCAGTGATTACAGTGGTGGTGGTGGCAGCAACAGCAGCTAAAGCAGCAGCGGCATAAGAATTTGGAGAAGCATGAGCTAATAAACTGATGAATCAAGAGAGAAATTTTATGGGTCCAGGAGGATATATTATGTCTAAAGTGGGCAGGAATGACCACGAGCAATCGTCCGAGCCAGGCCGGCTCGAGTTTCTGAACGATCTGGGTGGAATCGCATTGAGCCAGAGCATGGTTTGCTTACTGGGTACATGAGGAAAAGCTGGGGAAGTGAAGTTAAGCTAAGCTAAGTTAAGCCATCAGAATCCATCAAGACCAACTGAATAAAATCTACCCTGCACCGGGACTTACAGGGTAATCAGTTCTGTAAGGGCGCTGATAGTGGAGGGGATTGTGTCAATGAACTGGTTGTTGCTTAAAGACCTGTGTTGACAACGCATGCACGAGAAAGGACATGGAAACGAAGTACATTGGTTGGTGGTAGTGTGATAAGTTGAAAACGGCTGTGGCTGCAAAGTCATAACAGAGACTAGTGGGGTGTAGCACATGTGCCACAAGCTGACATGTCTGCCTGCACTGCACTCATGAATTTCAGTTTCAGGTCTGACGGGAATTTTACAGAGTGGAGTAGAGAGGGGAGAGAGAAGGAAAGAGAAGACAACAAGAGACTTGAATCAGAAAACATGGGAAATTTTCCAAGTAGATTAGGGGAGGAGAGTGTCGTGCTTGAGTGATGAGGGGGAACGGAAGGAACTGGTTAACATTTCACGGAGAGCAAACAGTCTACTGAGAGTGAACACTATCAGGGGAGTTAACGTGGTTGCAGATCTTAAAGAGAGGTAAAGAAGAGGGAATAAAGGACGAAAGGGAGGAGGTCGGGGAGGAGAAAGGGCGGGGAAGGGTCTAAGAGAGGGAACATGAGAAGCTTGAAGCAGAAAGAAATAGAATGGACCACGCATAGCAGACCGGTGGGAAACAACTCAACAAAGGGGACGTGTAAGCAGGAAAGGATGATCGAAAATACATAGAATGAAAGTGCGTAGGGGTGCACGAAAATACAGAAACACTAGCCATGACAACATAGAATAAAAGTACGAACAGAAGGAGTTCAGAAGCACCTATATCTCACATTCCATTTTTGCACCCACATTCCACTTGCATCTCTCACATTTCAGTTGCGTTTCACATTACAGCTGTGCCCACAACGCAAACAATCCTCACCGCGCTCTCCTTCCAAACTCACAAGGTGGTCAAAGTATTAATTTCACTGATGCTGGCAGGGATGCTGCCGTCAAACAGGTTGGAAGAAAGATCTCTGGAACAGGAAGAAACATGCAAAGGATAGCACAGAATGGAAGGTGCAGATGCCAGACGGGAAAGATAAGAGGGAATTGAGCAATGGCTTGCGGAACAAAAGGTGGAAACAGAGTGACCAATGCAATCGGAATGGGACATTGAAGCAAAGCAATGGACAAAGTGATTCATATAGAAATCCCATTCCAAATGCTCCTTTAGTCTTTTGCCATATTCGCAAGTGAATAAATATGCCACAGCTACACAGCAGCGTGACACAAACTTGGCACAGAACCAACACAACCTTTCCCTGCCACTCTAAACCCCATTGGCCAAAATGTGAGCCCATCCGAGAGTCACTCACACCCGCAGCTCTGGTTTGGAGCATTCGAGATGAGCCAGGGCAAGGAAAGGACATGAGCAGTGGAGCCAGGGACAAGCTCTTCATCCAAACTCACAAGAACTCCAGACATTATCGATCACTGGAGCTAGCAGGGACAATGTCTTCATCCAAACTCACAAGATCTCCAAATGATACAGATCACTGAAGCTAGCAGGGATGCTGCCTGAGAGCTGGTTGGATGAAAGATCTCTGGAACAGGGTGAAACATGCAAGGGATGGATGGCACAGAAACCGAAGCTGCTGACGGGAAACAAGAAAGCTTGGATGTAGGAATAGGAAAAAAAAAGAAGGAATCAGAGTAAAAGAGTACAGTTTCTGAAGGGGAAATGAAGACACAGAGATGAAAACTCCAGAAGGCGTGAAGCAGGAGACAAAGCAAATTCAACTAACGCTTCTTATTCCAAATCCTCAGATATTGCCTGCTGAACTGACATTCACCGTATTCAACCTAGCCAGTATTTGTTACCGTCTTTAAATCCCAATTTTATTGATCATGCCTTAAGTTAATCGCTGCAAGAAAATACTCAACTTTCAGGGTGAGTAAGAATGCGGACGAGGTCGAAGAATACTCGTCACGAGTATTACTCACTCAAGTCAGGACGAGGGAAGGCAAGTACTACTGGCATCCTGGTATGCCCCAGCCCCAGACAACTATGGAGCAACCCACTCCCTCCCCTCCATTCGAGAGATAGGGGTTTCTGGAATCGAGCTGTGCACATATGCACTAGCCATCCACGTGTCAGCTGTTAAAAAAATAACTATCAGACAACTGTGCAGCAACCCATTTTCTTCTCCGTTGGAGAAAGTTTTTTTTTGTCATAGCAGCTTTCCAGAAACCGGGTTCAAAAGGGACTGGTGGTGGTGGTCAGTAGGAAAGGGAAGAGCAGTGAAAGAAGGGGGGTTGAGACGCTAGCCAACTAAAGTGCTCTTGGGGACAAGGGAGGAAAAGCAGAAAGAGAATTAAGAGATTGGAGCGAAGTAGAGAACTTACAACTCCCTTACGTAACCACCATAGCCTGTAAATGCATCAAAGGAGCCTGTGAGCTGATTACCCGCAAGGTACCTGGGTTGATGAAGGCAAGAGAAGCACAAGGAATGAGTGGAAGAGAAGCAACACGAATGGAGGAAGAGAGAGAGTGTGAGTGTGTGTGTGTGTGTGTGTACGTGTGTGCGTGCGTGCGTGCGTGCGTGCGTGCGTGCGTGTGTGTGTGTGTGTGAGTGAGTGTGTGCATGTGTGCGTGTGTGTGTGCGTGTGTGAGTGAGAGAGGAAGAGAGAGAGAGAGAGAGTGATAAATGAACGATTCGCATGTAACCTAATTGGTTCGTTGTTTCTCACACTCTCCGCAGTAAGAGCGCAGTAAAGTCAGCAGGGATGCTGTTCGTAAGCTGGTTGTGTGAGAGGATACTGCAATGGTAAGACATGCAATGGAAAGGCATGCATTGGAGAGTTGTGCAATGAAAATTCATGCATTGGAAAGTCATGCAACGGAAACTCATGCCATGGGAAGGCATGCAATGGAAAGGCATGCAATCAAATGACATGCAATGGAAACACATGCAAGGGTTGGAAAGTTGATTAGGTGAACAGTGCACTGCAATGCAAATGAATAAGCTTCTTGAGCTATCAACTGACGGACACCGCCGCCAGATGCTAAGCTACTAGAGAAGGTGTGAACGCACAGATACATGTTTCTCCCTAAATGGACAGTTTCTCATTACACATGATACAACTACCGACGCAATTATTGCATCAAAATGCTCTTTGTCACAAAACGAGTTATATGTGGACCGGACCCAAGACAACTACTGCTAGCTAGTACGATGCAAGGGATGTCAAGGGAGGTGATGAGTGGACTGATGAAGGTGTGAGGAGAAAGGAAAGGAAGGCTCCCTGGCAAGGGGTGTACTATTCTGGCAATGGCAACCGAACGACAAAGAGGAGCAGAGCAGGTGGCCAGGAGGGAGAGAAAGGTAGTCGAGCGCAGCAGCTATTTAGTCCATCCAATGTTCACCGAGCAGGCACAGTAACGCAGAGTTATGACAACGCAGTCTTACAGGTCGTCCAGGTTTCTGAGAGTGCTTAATTCAGCAGGGATCGAGCCAGTTATTTGATTGTGACTAATATCACTGCGATTGTCAAATAAGGAAAGAACAGATGGAAGATCGCAGTGATAGTCACAATGAATGAATGGGAGCCAGTAGCAAGCGAGCAGAGCTGACGAGAAGAATAGACTAAAAAGGAGAGAAGGAAGGAAATATGGCGAAGCAAGTGGGAATAAGACTAATGTGAGCAGGAAGTTTGAGATGCGAACCATGCGCAGAGGACGGGAGAGGAGAGCGGAGGGAGTGATGGCAAGATTCTGAGAACACAAGAGCGTATACACGAGAAAAGGAAGATGAAGCGGCGGCGGCGGCGGAGGAGGAGGAGGAGGAGGAGGAGGAGGAGGAGGAGGAGGAGGAGGAGGAGGAGGAGGAGGAGGAGGAGGAGGAGGAGGAGGAGGAGGAGGAGGAGGAGGAGGAGGAGGAAAGGGCTTTCTCTTACAATTTCCACAGTTTCCCGAGGGCGCTGAAATCAGCAGGGATGCTGCCTGTGAGCAGGTTGGATGAGACGTTACTGTGATGGTTTGAAGCATGCAAGGGAGAGAAAAAAGAGAATGAGCTGATCATTACAAGAAGAGCACAGGGAAAACTATGTGAGCAGACTGGGTGAGCAAAGCAGGCCCCTCAGGAGTTTGTATATAAGCAGAAGAGGAAACTATTCATTATAGTCGTGAAGTAGAAGACTGGGTTGAAGTGCCTAGGATATCAAAATATTAGTACACATGAAATGAAAGGCACCACGTGCAGAGCATAAGACGCCGGACGAGCAGCAGCGGTTGAATCAATCGAGTAGGACTGCAAATTCGAACGTTTCCTGCCTGATTACGTTCACATGCATGTATGGATACATCCGCAGTGCTAGCTTTTCAGAAAAGAAGCCGTGAGCGGGTATTGGATGGAATGAAAGAGAGGAGCCGAAGGTGCTTGGAAGGGTAAAGACGTGTGGCAGAATAATAGCCGGTGACAGCATGGAAAGGAAGGAAATTGGTATGAGAACCCAAGAACTTACATAAACTCCAAAGTTGTAAGCAAGTTGAGCTTTCCGGGGATTGAGCCTGTGAGCTGATTGTTACCAAGGTATCTGAGATGAGACGGGCATGCGAAATGTGCACTGACAATGTCAGGAAATGCTGTGAACTGTAAAAGGATTACAATATGCGCAGATAAAAGCAAAGAGCAGTGGTTAGATTTCAGCTGTTACTATGCCTGACATACGTCCGCACATAAAATGGAGGAGCAGAATACTGGGAAACACAAGTTCTGAGGTTACAACCCGCCTACCCTGTGAGAATGTGAGAATGTGAGAATGTCTGCAGGCAATCCAACTCGCCTCAAGTCAGCTATCTTAAAGCCCTCCTACCTTTTGCCAAATTCGCGTTCGTTTTGGTGGATTCTGGTCTGCTAGCGCCGTCAACGATAATCAGCAATGCGTAAAAACATCTTGGTGCAATCACTAGCAGAAAGGACTGTGCCAAATGGAAATTAGGAAGTGGGCGGCCATGGCCAGGTAAAAATCTAGTCTAGCATCAGAACGCCGGGGTCTTACTGATGAAAAGCGTCTAACAGAAGAAGTGGTGGAAGAGAGGGACAAAGAAAGACCGTGGACACAGGATCTTACATTTCCCTTAAAGGAGCATATGGTTCAACTGGAGTGGGAATCGAACCAGTGAGTTTGTTTCCTTCAAGGGATCTGTGACAGAAGCGGGGACCACAAGACATGCAAGACAACAAAAAACGCACACAATATGACAGTATTGTATATAATGTATGTATATATCAATAAGCATATAGATAACATATACAAAATGTATTGAAATTTTTATTCTACCAACACATGCTTACCTACTAGATTGAATATGATTATAGTCACTACTACAGACTATGATTATAGTTTGATTTTTTGTATTCTCAAAAGTGACTCCCATATATGAGCTCAGCTCATCATAGCAACATTCCTAAAATTAGAGATGAGAAGCGTACCAAGCAGGTCGTTTCTTCCCCAGAAAATGTCAGCTCAAAGCTGAACTGGTTTCGATCAAACCGTTCAATTCGGTTCGGTTTGGGATTTATGTTTGAGCCGCAGTGAAGTGAACCAATCCTGGTTGGTTTGTCGGTTAGCAGACAGAGTTGTTGCATCTCAATCTTGGGCTCCAGAACTCTTTTTGGATAATATGCCAAACCCATCGTCATCAGATGTTGTGTAGGTTAACATGTCTCCCTATCCACAGACCCTCTGCCTTTGCGCGATCGAGAGAATACTCGGTTCAAATCGAACCATAGAGATTTTACCACTGGGGGGTGAATTTCAAACCAAGTTCGGACCCAGTTCGGTTCAATTCAACCCGGAAGCAAAACCATTCTTTTTCCATTTAGTGAAACACAAGATAGGTGAGCAGGAAGCGTTGAGGGATTGGATGGTTTACACATAAAACAATATAGGGTGTGAAAAGACTTCGACGGGAAGGGAGCCATCGAGCTGATTGTTGGAAACAAACCTGAGGTGTTCAACGCAGATAGAAGGCAGAGATGCGAACAAGGGGTGTATGAGTAAGAAAAAACATGGAAGAGGGGGATGATATATTGATGACGAATATTTTACGAAATGAACAGTACGAGGGGGAGGATAATCATTGAATTGGGAGGGCAATCCAAGGGGGGACGAATATTAACGAACAACACGAGGGGGGGGACAATCATTGAGAACTGGGAGAACGGAAGGACATCCCATACCCCCCTACAAAGAAGGGTGAATATTATAGGGAGGAAAACCGTTGAATTCACAAGAATTAAGCATAAGGAGAAAATATTGCCAGGAAATAATTCCAACCTAGCAAGGCCTCACAGGTTGTAAAGAGTTGTAAGGCTGGTGATTGTTGGAGGAATTGAACCAGTGAGCTTGTTATACGAAAGCTCTCTGTGAAGATCATATCACAGCATCCCATGGAAAGACGGAAAGCAGAAAGGATTCCATGAATTTGAACAGCTGGTAGGAGCAACGGCATGAGCTGACAAAAGTTATAGATCACTGTTCCTAAAATTCACGTGTATAGAAACAATTCATGTGTGGAGGGGGGGGGGAAGGGAGGGGGGGGAAGGGGGGGGGGGGGAGGGGGGGGGGAGGGGGGGGGGGGAGGGGGGCAGGATACCAGGCATGGCAGGATACCAGGCATGGCAGGATACCAGGCATGGCAGGATACCAGGCATGGCAGGATACCAGGCATGGCAGGATACCAGGCATGGCAGGATACCAGGCATGGCAGGATACCAGGCATGGCAGGATACCAGGCATGGCAGGATACCAGGCATGGCAGGATACCAGGCATGGCAGGATACCAGGCATGGCAGGATACCAGGCATGGCAGGATACCAGGCATGGCAGGATACCAGGCATGGCAGGATACCAGGCATGGCAGGATACCAGGCATGGCAGGATACCAGGCATGGCAGGATACCAGGCATGGCAGGATACCAGGCATGGTCCTCCACAGTTGCTGGACCACTAACGCGGTCGCGCCTACAGCTTCAATCCTGCCACCAGCCTGGAGGTGTGCGGTCAGACCCTGGACCGTTCCGTCCAGTTCTGAAACCGCAACGCCTCCCATCGCGGGCGCTCCCAGCAAGGGTAGGAGGAGGAAGGCAAGTTGCGCAGCCGCCGCCAAGCAATCTCCTCGCGCCTCACGACCAAGAGTGCTCCCTGGGCTCTGGAGAATGGCGAAGTGCGCATTCACCAGAATCAGTGTCAGGGCCTGCTGGCACTCCACCAAGCGCCACAGCTGCGCGAGGGTCGCCGTGGGAACTTGAGCCACTCCGGTCCTCAACGCGGCAGGCGGAACGGGAAGAGGGGGTGGAGGCTGCACGGACGGAGCTTCAGCAAAACGACGCGGAGGATCGAAGGCTCCCCTCGCCCCTCCGCCTCCCGCTCCCACAAATCCCGTGTCCAGAAGAGGGGGAATCCAGGGCAGGGGCGGATACTGCGAGGCAGACACAGGACGAACGTAGGCAGGCGGAGCACGGTCACTGCCAGGAGCAGGAGCCCGCGGGTACGCGGATGCGTGCGGAGCAGGTGCAGCAAGGGGCGCGGCCGGTTCCAGCGCATTCACAGGAGCAGGCGCGGGCGCAGGAGCGGCGTGGGCCGGGGAGCTACCAAGATTCGGTGCGCCATTCAGAGCGTTGCGCATCGCCGCAGCCAGCATCCCCGGGAAATCCTCGCGCAGCTGCTGCATCTCGCTTGGCCCACCGCGCCCGCGACCGTGACCTCCCCACCAGCCACCGCGACCTCCGCGGTGCGCCGAACGATATGACGAGGAGGGGCGACGCCGAGGAGAACCTCGCCCCCGATGCGCTGCCGCATTGCCCCCCGCGGCAGCACGTATCTGGGACTCCGCGAGCCGCTGCGCGACGGGATTCACCGGCGCAGCCGAAGGGGCAGCCAAGTGGGCAGAATCGGGGCCGGCGCCCACCGCTGTCCCCAGCGCAGGGCCCCCAGCGACAGCTTGGGCGGGCGGCTGCGCCACATGCGACGGCTGCGCAACGGGAACCGGCGCGCCGGACACGGGAGCAGCGTGCGGAAGGCTCGGCGGGGGAGCTGGCGACAGCGGGAGCGGAACCGCGGATGTCGCAACAACATCAGGGGGAGCCGGGGGGAGTAGGGGAGCAGCAGCAACAGCAACAGCGGCAGCAGGGGCCGGAGGCGGAGCAATCGCACTCTCAGCAGTGTGACCTTGGTCCACCGCTGACTTCTCCGCTTCAGTCGCCATTACGGCGAACGCGTCGGCAGCAGGCGATCGAGGACGCACGGTCGCGTCAGAACGCAGGAGTAGGTGGTCGCGAAAGTCCCCAGTTGGCCGCAGCTAGTGCGCGGACGCGTGGGGGACGAGCCGGAGGTCGCGGACGTGGCAGGGGCTCTCGAGAAGGAGGTCCGGAGAATGCGTTCCAGGCAGCGGCGAGAAGGGCTTTAACCGAATTAGTTAGAACTAATGAAGAAGGCGAGTTATCGGGGAGCATTTATGAGGCGGAGGAGGATGAAGCAGACTCACCTTCAAGTTCGAATGCCTCGGAGGAGGCCCAGTCACAAACTCCAGCTCGGGGGAGAATCAGCTCAACCCATGCCCGAGGCGCGTCATCAAATTTCAGAAACACACCCACCCAGCCGCGACACTCACCACAGATTCAAACCGCTTCCCGCCCCCCTGCCACCACTGCCAACAATCCCGCTCAACCGAACCTGACACCGCCACCTGCAAATGCACCACGAACAGCAGCGAGGGGTAACCAACAGCAACCACAGCCACCCCCCCAAAAATCGCCAGAAGCCCTCGCCAAGGACGACACATTATTCGCGAACGTCAGTACATGTAATCTGGATAAGCTACGCGACAGTCGCAACGCTCCGCTGGCACGTCGCCTGCCGGAAAAACTGCGCCTACTTTTCGCAATGGTGATGCTGACACCACTGCTGCGACTCGCACACGACCCAGACTCCATCCCAGCCTGGACGATTCTGCTGTTTGCGGCTCGCCTGACGCTGCGTCAGCATTCGCCGAGGCACCCAGACTGGAAGGCGACAAGGGAAAGACTGCGTAAATTCCTGCGAGGGGAATGGGAGGCATTGTACCAGGAAACGGTTGATTCGTTGGACTCCCCTCCCCCTCCCAGACACCAGCCAGACGACCTGGGGGTAATATCTAGGGCAGAGGGATTAGCTCGAGGGCTGTCATGGCACTGGAAGCCACCCCAGTCAGCCAGCCCTCTCCGGCGGTTCTGGAATCCCTCCGCGCCAAACACCCTAGTGCCCCGCGCTCTGACGCACCTTGGCCCCAGCCCGAGCCGGAATCTTACCTGGCAGTATCGCGGGAAACTTTCCTGAAGCTGCTCTCGAAATGTGAGAATGGGGTAGGTGCAGGCCCCTCAGGGACAACATTCGAGCACCTGCGCGAAGCTACCCTGCTGCACGCCACGGTTGGTTCTCACCTTCATGCATTGGTTAACACAATCCTGAGAGGGAAGCTGCACCAGGACGTAGGGAAGCTACTTACAGCCTCGCGCTTGATAGCCCTCGACAAGCCGGATGGAGGAACGAGGCCGATTGCCATAGGCGAGTGCATCCTGCGTTTAGCAGCCAAGGCAGCTCTTACCCAGGTAGCGGACGCAGCACGAGAGTATTTCTTACCTCTACAGTTCGGAGTGGCTGTGCCAGGAGGAGCGGAAGCAGTGATACATGTTGTCCGTACCTACACAGCGGCCAACCAGGACGCACTGGTGTTGCAGGCCGACCTGGCCAATGCGTTCAACAGTGTCAGCCGCCACGCCATAGCGTCGGCCTTGAAAGGATCGCAGCTAGAACCGCTGCTGCCTTTGTTGCAGTTCTCGTACGGCCAACCCTCCACGCTGCATCTGGATGCAGCCTTCGACCACCCACCCCTGCTCAGTGAAACAGGGGTCCGCCAGGGGGATCCCCTCGGCCCCCTTCTTTTTGCCGCGGCCATGCAACCAGCTTTGAGAGCAGCAGCGGAGGCTCACCCCGAGGTCGTCTGCCTGGCCTACGCGGACGACATGACCTTCCTGGGAGAACCGTCGTCATGTGCAGCTGCTTTTACACACTTCACGGGCCGCTTGGCAGAAATTGGGCTCAGCCACAATCCTGCCAAGTGCGGGGCTTGGGCAGGCAGGACGCCCACGGACTACCGCCTGCCTGAGGGGGTTCTTCCCAGCAGCGATGGATTGAAGGTGCTGGGCAGCTACATTGGCACCTCCACGGCAACCACTGCCTTCGTACGGTCCAGCCTGGAGGCGATGGGCGCACCGCTGGGTTTGATTGAGCGGATGGAGCCGCAGGTGGCGGGACTGCTGCTTTCCCGGTGTATTTCCCGCCGAGTGTCATACATAGCCCGCACAACCCCACTGCCTTTCCTGCCAAAGGAGGAGTGGTCTGAGTGGGGACGGAGGCTGCTGGAAACACTGCTGACAGCATGCGGCATCAATCACCCTCGTGGGGACGAGGAGATTTCACGCACGTGGGCGCAAGCCTCACTCCCCGTGTCGCTCGGTGGCCTTGGGTTGACGGACCCATCAGTAGAGGGAAGCTACAGCTTCCTCGCCAGCTACACGCAGGCGCAGCTGCTGCTTGACTCCCTGGACAGCGAGTGCACCGGCCCACTGGAAGTCACGCGCGAGCTGATGCGTGGCCCCTACACCGAGTCCTCCCCCTTGTCCGAATGGCTTGCGGAATGTGAAGGGGAACTGCCGCTTCCAGCCCAAGAAGCTCTCCAGGCCGAGAGATCGGCTCCAACAGCAGGGAAACTACAGCACGGGCTGGCCACGGCTATCCAGGGCCAGCGCTATGCCATGCAGGTGGAGGAGGTGCGAGGGATGAGCCCGAACCCCAACAACGGTCACACGCAGCGGATGCTTTCCCTGTCAGGGTATGGGGCGGGGGATTGGTTAAACGCAGTGCCCATCCACTCCTCGCTCCGCCTTGAGGCTCCCCACTATGCCAACGCGCTCCAGTTTCGGCTGGGGCTCCCCTTTGCGGCTCCTGGGGTTTGCAACTGCTCCAAGAAGGTGGAGATCCCGGATAAGCGGCTCCCAAATCACCTGCTACGATGCGGAACAGGGGGGGGGCGCACAAACACACACAATGAACTCAGAGATGAGTGCGCACGGATGGCGCAAGACGCAGGCTTCATGGTGCACATCGAGACGGCCGCCTTCAGCCCAGTGGAGGAGAAGAAGGAAGACCTGGCCTTACGCTGCCGCTCCACTGGCGCCGTCTACATCTGCGATGTGACGGTAACAGACCCCATCAGCATCCGCGATGAGAACGCCACCAAGGGGAGGGGGTGGGCGGCACGGGAGGCAGCAGATAAGAAACACGGCCTTTACAAGGACCGCCCAGAGTGGGTGAAGTTCTTCCCACTAGCGGTCGAGACATACGGGTGCCCCTGCCCAGAGTCAGTAGATTTCCTGAAACTACTCGCAGAAACGGCTGCACGGCGGTTTTTCAACGCCGAGCCAACCTCCTACCAAGCTGCCAAGCTCTTACACCAATACCGGCAGCGGTGGTCGGTGGCTCTTCAACGTGGGCAGTCGATTGGGTACCTGGAAAAGTGCAACATAGCAGCAGCAGTTGAAAACCCGCTACTAGAAGCAGTGGGTGAGGCCCCGTCCCTTGGGGACTGCCTCTCGGCCCTTGATCCAGCACTGGACCTCACTTAGAGGGTGTAGAGCGGATGAATGAATAGGAAGTGTACTAGCCCCACCTTTGCTTTGACCTATACCTTGCATGTCTGTACGCTTTGACTATCAATGAAAGGGCCATTAGAGAGAGAGAGAGAGAGAGAGAGAGAGAGAGAGAGAGAGAGAGAGAGAGAGAGAGAGAGAGAGAGAGAGAGAGAGAGAGAGAGAGAGAGAGAGGACAGAAGGTTAAACGACAGCAAGGGAGTCACTGGATAAGACGACAGGTGAGGGAATATGGGTTTAGAAGATGGGTACATATGTAGACAAAGCATGCGTCTTACATTGTGGTCAGGCCTGTAAGCAAGCCAATAGTACTGGGAATCGAGCCGCTAAGCTGATTCGAATACAGATTTCTGTTATGATCATATGATGTGCATTCATTTGTATGTATGTGTGCAGACAGGTGAGGGTCATCAATGTGAGGAGTGAACGGATTTGCAGAGATGAGATGAGACACGGAGGGAACAAGAGGAACATGTATACAAATGAGAGGTGAGGGCCAAAGAATACAAAGATGGAAGGAGGAGAGTAAACATCAAGGTGAAAGACAAAAGCATAAGAGCACAGGAGAAGAGAGGCAGGCAATTGATTCAAATATTCCCGGAGGCATGAGGAAAAGGGGCGGGAAGGCAAAGCAACAAGAGCAAGAGAGGGAGAAGAGTGGACACGGCAGTGCTCAGGATGGGCTGAGCTGGGCTGGGCCTCCCATCCACCCACATTATGGTGGACGTAAGTTGCCGCTATGCCATACCCGGGTAAATCTCAGTCTGTCCGTCTCAGTCGATTGCCCAACACCCCCCCCACCCCCCCCCCCCCCCCCCCCCCTCCCCAGGTGGCGGGTTGGCCTGGGCGTGTCCCTTGCCCATTGCAAGCGCAAGAGTGGGCATGTGGCTATTGCATGTGGCTATTGCATGTGGCCATTGCATGTGGCTATTGCATGTGGCTGCTAGTGGGCATAACAAGCAACAAACTTACAGGTATCTCAGATATTGAAGGGAGCCGATTGTAGAAGGGATAGGCCCAGTGAGTTTATTATTCAAAAAATACCTGTGTAAGGGAGCCGATTGTAGAAGGGATAAAGACACACACACACACACACACACACACACACACACACACAAACACACACACACACACACACACACAAAACCGGCAGAGAGCAACTAAATCACACATAAAATGGCAGCAAGTACAGTAGAGGCTTTTTTTGTTTCTGGAGCAATGGGGAACACAGAGATCCACATGAGAGAATATGAGAGAAAGACAAGTATGAACTAGCTAGTTCTCTGTTGTTGCTATCCAGATCAGAGTCTTTGCAGCGGCTTGCTGCTTGCCTATAGGAACGACCAAATGACCACAGCTTCATAGTCTTCAGAACAATATGTACATTTAGCATATTGCCGTGCATCAAGCTACCAAGACTTCCATGTGCCTAGGAACGAAGAGGACAGAAGAATTACTGGAAAGAGTGGGAGCAAACAAGCATTGGTCAGGATAGAAACTGGGGAGGATGGAAAAGAATCTCCAAGACAGCAACGGCCTTACATAGTTCTCAAATTTGACAGAGCGCCAAGTGCTTCAGGGAGTGATCCGGTCAATTGATTGCCAGCAAGATTTCTGTCACCCACCACCACAAGGTTTTGATGCATCAACATAGTTTGCATAGACGAGGACAGCAGATAAGAGAATCCACGTTAATCGATAGGGAAACACATCAGAAGTTGTGAATGTTGCTCATAGGAAGGTGTTTCTAACAAGGAACAACAACCGCATCAAACAATGAACAACGTCAAAGGAGATTGGAGAGTGGACTAGCAGGAGTTGAGCGTGAGGAAAGGAGGGAAGGATGGAGAAGGGGTAGAAATGGACAGAATCACAATTTCATCAGGGATGAAGCCTGTTATCTGTGTCAGAAGGCTTACAGGTGTGTCAGGTCCGTCAGAAGGGTAATCCCATCCGGGATGGAACCTGTGAGCTCTGCGCTTGGTAGACGTCTGTGGTTATGAACGCGATTCATGTGTTGGATTTTGGATGATGTGTGGGACACGTTGGCAAGACGGATGGGGAGGATAGTAAGATTGAAGATGGTGGAATAGGGGAGGACGGAAGGAGCAAGGGAGAATGAGAGGAAGAATGCGAACGATGATAGTAATGGAGCAGGAAGGAAAACAAACAACAGAGAACAGAGCAAACGATTGGAGTTAGGAGAACAGAAACTACAGAGAATAGAAAGAAAAACAAGAAGAGCTACTACAGGATTGACCAACAAGCAGGGAGTGGGCTAGGGAAACTGATACATGCGCATATCAAACATATGTCTTGCTAAATTGTTGCACAGCACACATAACAAGGTCTTGTAGGTCTTAGTCCTATCCTTGGCCATGACTCACAAGACTTGCAGTTTAGTCAGCGCGCTGATGCTTGAAGGGATGCTGCCTGAGATCCGAGTGTATGCAATTTCACTGCGAAACATTTGGACAATAATCACATGGTGTGAAGACGGAAAGAAACAACCTAGACACATGCACAAACATGATTACCATGTAATTGTATAATGAGACGAGAACAAGCGTGGCTTTTTGACGAGCATATTTCTCGAAACTGTTACATGGGCTCCACAAGGTGGTATTAGTGTTTTGCCGGGACCTTGCTCTCAAGCTTTGCAGTTCATCCCCTACGTGGACGCACCAAGAGGACTTACCCTCCCTCCCTCCCTCCCTCGCCCCATGGCCGCAACCTGTGATGAGATTATCCCACAGCACTCGAACAATCTTACAGTTTCGTTATCATCCCGTTGCCGTCGCAGGTGACGCCGGTAGTGGTGCTGCAGTCGGGATTGGTGTCGGTCCAACCATCAAAGGTCTTCCCCCACGCCGAGTCCTTCAAGACCACAGCTGCAGGCAATGGAATGCGGGAAAAGTGGTGAGAAGTTTGTCATTACACGTTGGAGAGACTTTTTAAACGGTAAATTACCTCTGTAGGTATGACACTCGTTCCTGGCCTCGAGCGCCTCTCACCTTGCGTCGGGTCGAGGGTCACTGCGTGGACCATCGCGAGGGGTGCGGCGACAAGGGCGGCAATCCACAATGCGAGTGCCAGCGCGCGGTCCATAATAGTAACTCGCCGCACCATGACCGGCGCGTGAAGGCAATCTTGAAGCACGAGGCGGCGCTTTGACTTCGCTTCGGCAAGAGCTGAAACTGGGTATCCGTGACTTACAACCGGAGCCTCAAATCCCCCAAACTGCCTCAAATTTCGTACCTTCGGTAAAGAACAGCCTACTTCGCGAATCGTCGGGACAATTTTCGAGATCCGTAACTACTAGCAACGACGACAGCACTGACGATTTCGCGCAACGTGTTTCCTTTAATCCGGAATTCTACGCGAATTCACGAGTTGCGTTCGGGATATGGTACCTCTCGCGATATTCTCTTACTCCCAGACCCGCGTCTACCTATTTCGACACCACCGTGGTTCGCGCGGCCAATTGCGGCCCTTCCTCCAACCAACCTTCCCTACCTTTGAAACATATGGACCCCGGATCGCGGCTTCCTGCTATATACAGCAAAGGAACGAATCGCCGAGAAAAAATCACCCTGCGAGTTAAATCTCAGAAGCTGCGCCTTTGCTCTGATGCAGAAGCTGTTGTTCTGAAACAACTACGACGCTGCTATGAAGCACCACCGCGGCGGCCCTCCGAGGAAGTCAGTGCTGCTGTGGACTGTGGGGAACCCAGCTTTGCTGCTAATCCTCGTGTATCCAGCTTCGTTCCGAGTAAGGAATACCCCAAGCAACCGTACTGTAGCAGTCACTTCTGCAAAGGGAGTTCCCGGTGTACGAGAATCGGGTCGGGTGGTTCTGAAATTATTTGTTGTTGTTGCTACTGTTTTTTAATTCGACTTTTACATGGATCGCCGTCAACCACACCTTCTTTAACTTGAAGTGCAAGTGCAGTGCAGTACCCCCAACCAGAACTGAAACTTGTGGTTAAAATTGTACTTGCATGGGATGGGCCACCCAGTGACCAGGTGTTGTCGGCTTCGCCGACGTTTGCGGCAAAGCTTGTGATGCATGTGCATCGAAAATCCCCGGTTCGGAGGGCCGTCTCCCAAACAGACACTGTGCACAGGGGAAATTATACGGGCAGTCTCAATTAAGCCCGTTTTATTGCGTTAGGTTACAGGGCTATCTTAAACAGTCACAGTACAGTAGATTCTTATCGCGGGTGATCACAGTGCTATCACGGATGGTCACACCTCGCCTCTAAAAGCTATCACGGTTGGTCACTCGATGAAACGATAATGATTAATTTGAAACCACAAAAAGAAACTGTAGAGATTTTGGGAAATCCCAATATTGATTGCTTGTTACCTCGCGCAAGATTTTAGCCTGAAATTTAGGGGAATGAAGAAAACATAAACCCCTATAGGATGGCACGTCATTCGGGAGGCATCAACCCTTCACACCATGCGACAAGGTGTTTAGGGTTGATGCATCCCGAATTAAATCCCGTCCGAATGGGTTTTAGTTTTTTGTATTGGGAACAGAAATTACCCTTCGAGTTTTACCCGTCTAAAAGTGATATTCTTAGGAACACTATGCATCATTCGAGCAGTGGATAATCAAATAGTAACAAGAATTTGCAGGTGTTTTTTTCGCGAGTTACTGAGAGTTGTCGCGAAATTATTTCGTAATACTACAGACAAAACGGCTCGCGCGAGAGAACTTTCCTTGAATCCCTACAGTAAGATTCGGAGTTTCAACTTTTTAGGGTTCGTTTCAACGAGTGACCAAACGTGATAACCCTGCGGGGCGATGTGTGACCAAGCGTGATAGCGCTGTGATCACGCGCGATAGCAATGTACTGTACTGTGACCGTTCGTGATAACCCTGTGACCTAACGCGATAAAACGGGCCTAATTGTGACTACGCGTATAATCTCCCCTGTGCACAGCCAGCCGGCGTTTCACCGAACGGACGCATGTGGGGAGTGGATTGAATGTGGGCTAAAATTTGCCTGTTCAGAGCAATTTGGCCGAGTACTTTATTGCCCAACTCTTTCTTGCGAGGTTCTTCTATTCGGTAGTTGCCGCTGCCAGATTGTACAAACAACTTAGCTAATTGACCACTGCCAACTTTCGTGGCCATAATCACTAAACCGATTTCCAATACTTTTGCCAGATATATAACGACTCGACACCGACTGAAGGCATTGACGCCAAGTTTTAGCCAAGTTCAACGGCAACATGCAATGTTTGGCCAAGATGCAGAGTGAGTTCTCCATAATTTTTGCCGAGAGAAGGGATAGATATCTTCCTGGGCCCTAAAGAGATATACTTAACGCTCAGCAGCCTAAAATACAACGACCCTGAGATTAGACGAGCCATGATGTTCTATCATTTTCTCGCAGAGTGATCCAGACCTGTACCCGGATTTGGGGGGAATGCTGGAAGCAAAAGTTGTAATTATTTTCTGTTACACACAAATCAGGGAAATGTCCTCAATGTTTCGGCTTCTAAAATTACACCTCGAGACAGCCAAACTGAGCCAGACCATAGACTGAGCTAAACCATAGACCACGAGCTTTTATCATACCTACTAAATGGGCTGCTCCGTCAACCATTACCTCGACTCGTCTTTCCTCTCCCACCGCTCCATATATTCTCAAGCCTGGTCCACCACACCATCTCAGAGCCAGTGGCCGTGGAATTCAGACCATCCGGATACGTTCAATCCCAGTAACATCGGCAGCTAAGTGGCGAACTCCTGAATCCCAGTAGAATGTGGGTTAAGCTGCCGATGTTTCACAAAGTCGACAGGAACTCAAACCTTTAATTCCAGATTAACCTCATTTAAGCAATGTTTATCGCGCCCTGGGCTGACATCTCAAAAAGGACCAACTCGACAAACTCTCTGGGATTGTGAGGCTGGCCGCAAACCAATCGACTGTTCTGTGCTGTCGTCTCGACTCGAACTGACTTGAAACACATTGATGCAACGGTTTTCTGTACATGGCCACCGACCAGAGTTTTGTCGCCTTGGTTACAGTACGTGTATTTGTTATCACGTTATCCTTCAGTTACGGTGCCAGCCGGCTCTGCCACTCTCTGTCTGTAATAGATCGTGAGATTTATACAGTTCACGCGTGTCATTCTTTACACAACTGTGCATGAATGGAAGTCCTCGAGTCTGGAACCGTCCTTTTTTACAAAGGAATACTACACCGGATGCCCGTTCCAGTCCCCGTTTCCATCTTCCCAGTGCTCCTCTCTCGAGCAATTGCTGGCTTGGGGCAAATTGGGACTGTTCATAATAGTGGGGTTACAGACTCAACTACAGTTCCCAAATTTCGGGTAGCCCAGGGGGTTTTGTTTGGAAAACCTGGCTGACTTATTCGCGGCCAGAAACTGAAATACACAAACTTTGTGCCCTGAGTGAAAAAATGGCACAAACGGTGCGCTCGAAGAAACATAACTGCGCTTTTAGTGTATAGTTCCAGTTATTTTGCGAGATCAATCTAAAACCCCAAATTATTCAGTTGCTCTTGTACAAATGTTATGGTATAAGACGGGGCGCCAATAATCTGTTTTCCAAAGCAATAAGTATTTTCATTGATCGTAGAAGTAGCCCCTTCCCAGCAGTCCCCTTCTTGGCAGGGGTTTTTTGGCGCGTGACGGGGTTGATAACTGTGTGAAAATAGTAGGTAGAGTTAGGAGCCATAGCTAGGTAAGTCCTAGCTAGGCAAGAGAAGTTTAGGCAAAAGAGGAGGAGTTCACTAGCAGCAATGAGGATACATATAGCAAACCCTAGATGGGTTGTACTCGCTATAGAGCACCCCACTACAGGCTAGAGAATAACATTCTGACACACCCCCATAGCCAAAGTGGGGTGTAATCAGTACAATGAGCAAGCAGGTATAGAGCAGGAGTTCACAAAGGTAAGCAAAGCTAGAGCTAATCACAGCGGGCAAGTGAGGAGGAGGAGGAGCTGTGGAGGTAGAGAAGATGGGAGGCAACGACTGAAGCTGCAGAGGCACGGGCACAGGAGCGGCTGACTCAGAGGCTACCGAAGCAAGGGCGACGGACTACTGGAGTAACTGGCTCGGCGGCTATAGAAGAGCGGCAGGAGCAACGGACCCACTGGCGACTGGTGCAGCAGGCTCACTGGCTACCGAAGCAAGGGCGACGGACTACAGGCGCTGCAGGCGACACGACAGGTACCTCCACACAACCTCCTCCAACTGCCCCATACCCTCGACACACACCCACTGCTCAAACCCTAGCTCCACTCCCACGCACCCCCCTAAAACCCTAAACCCTAGGCTCCCACACACCCACCCCCCTCAGCGGCAGCTGCAGCAGTGGGAGACCAGGGAGGAGGAGGAGCAAGGGGAGTAACACACAACCGCCACCCCCACACTCCTCACCCCCAAACCCTAATTCAGGAGAACGGGCAGCAGTAGGGGTGGGGCACCGTCAGAAGCACGGGGGACAGCGAGCAGCTCAGGGACAGAGAGGAACGGGCCGCCCACGGGCCTGGCACAGCCCGACGAACCGCGCGCAGGCGGCCCGAGCCGCGCGCGGGCCTGGCGCAGCCCGTACGGGCCGCGCGCGGGCCTGGCGCAGCCCGTACGGGCCGCGCGCGGGCCTGGCGCAGCCCGTACGGGCCGCGCGCGGGCCGGGCGCAGTGCGTACGGGCCGCGCTCGGGGCTGGCGCAGCCCGCGCTGGCCAGGACGGGCGACCGGGGACGACGGGCTGGTCCCCGTCGCCCGTCGAAGCGCCCCCCGGGGGCGACGCGCGGACCGACGGGGCAGAAGGCCGCCGCGCGCCTCGGGGCGCACGGCGGGCAGAGAACCGCCGCACGCCCCGGGGCGCACGGCGGGCAGAAAACCGC